GAGACGGAGGAGAATACCTTGTTGGAAGAGAGAAACGAGAGAGCGGTGTGTTACCTTTTCCATGCGCCATCCTCCCTCTTCTTGGTTCGAGGCTGCTCGTTTCACCGTAACATTGTTACGCTGGAGGTACATTAGTAGCCACACCTTACAGAATCGTTCCGCCGAGGCTATCGAAACAACCGACAACGCGCCAAGCATTGCAATCCTCGAGACGCTGCAAAGTCGTCGATTATTGGAATCGTTCGAACGAAACCGAGTCGAGCTAATTTCATTAGCGAACAAACCGATACGAGGCTTCACGTTCGTTCGTGAACCAGCTTTTGTAAAAATGGTTGAAATTTGGGGACAAGATCGTCGTTTCTCGTGTCCCTGATCCCAAAAGTGGGTTAGGATGCACCCTGTAAACGCGAACCGGTATCCACTTTCTATCCAGTAACATTGTTGCAAGGCCATTTTTTTCTCTGATCGAGCAATTCCTCAGGCTGTCGCGAAACACCCTTTTTCGAACCTCGACCGGTTAATCTCGAGTGAAATCTGCGCACCGGTGTTTCGCGAGATGCCACTCGAATCGATGATAATCGACGATCATCGTTTCGATCAGTTTCTTGCAGCTGAGGGCGTTACAACCCCCCGGGAGGGCGCAGGGAAAATCTTTAAGGAAGCGTTTCTCCGGTTTGGAGGCATCAATTTTCTCATGATTAAAAAAGAGTAAACTCATTGTCTTCTATAATTTTAAAGCAGTATCTCGCGTATTTCTGGGGCAGAAATGTTCGTTTATTATTCCGGAGAGGGTATCGGGCTCGAAGAAGTTTTGAAAGCGGTTTAGATCGATGGGTAACGGAAACGGTAAAGTGGAAATCGGCTCGCGGGGGCAAAGTCCCGGGATTACGAGGAGCAAATCGTTAATCATGAAATTAAATTGAATCGGGCCGCGGCGCGGTGGGAACGGAGCTAAGCGAAACCAAATCATTAAGAGCGAAACGACGAAAAAGAGGGGAGATGTCTCGGGAAGAGAGATACCGGTGCAGTCGGCCGGCTTCTACGTGCCGGTAACTTTATTTCGTCGACTTTTTTCTCGGCACGCACGTCGCGGGGCCCGGACCCCTGTCCTCCACGGGAGATTTATGCTACCGACATTGAAACTAAATTACGCCATAAATTAACCTTAAATTCGTGCTTTCGGTGCACCCCGATCTTCTCCTTCTGCCCATCTCGGCTCCCTCTGGACTCTCCCTCCGCCCTTCAACCTCGCTAATCGCTTTTCGCGTCCCTTTTCGACCGGCGTACATACTTTCCTCCTTTTTATTTACTCTCTTTATCCCTTCCACCACTCTAGTCGAAACCCATTAGCCGACCGCTATACTCCGATTTTCGTGACTCGAGTCCTGGCCTTTTCTCGCCATTCGAATCTCCCGCCTTTGCTACTTCCACTTTGCAAAATGGCGTCTACTTGAAAAGCACGTTTCTCTAGTAAATGAACATCGATCAACGCACTGACTGTGTTAGGTAATCGGTACAATGTTCGTAAAATCGCTGAACGGTCGTTGATTTACATTTCGATTAACGTTCGAAGCCTAATTCGATCGATAAGAGGCGAACGACGCGAGAAACCCGGACTTCGAAACGATCGCGAAGATAAACGCGTCTCTTTGTCGGAAACGAGCGACACGATACAAAGTCGTGCCTTTTCATTTGTCGTGTTGATTATAGAGGAAGAGTACGAGCGGTCCACGGTCGGCGAAGCTGCGGTGAATCGACGGTGATTCGAAGTCGAGGGCGAAAATTAAGGATCATTAGGGCCGATAAATCGGGACGAAGTACCGTTTCGGCAGTTTTGACCCCGCGGATCGTTCCCGAGGGGCTATTCCCGCGATAAATTATCCGGCTGGGCGTGCAATCGATCGCCATTTCTATCTTACCATCGACGTTTATCAATATTTCGTTATACACATTCACTTGACATATAATTCCAAATAATTGGGATGGTTACGAATAATTAAACTCCTTGGGCTTCGGAGCGAACCGAATAAAAACTGAAACGCGATTTTGTGTCCAGCTTCGATCCTAAGACCGACGAGGAGTTCAATTGCTCCCATCTGCGATTATTATTTGGTCTCGTTGCATAATTTGGCTCGCAGAGGGTTGAAAGTGGCGAAGTTTCTCGGTCCAAGGGATCGAGATTCGATGGCAGTGCAACACGTTGATTGTCGGTAATGCGATAATTTATTGATAAACGGAAAAATCAACAGAACGTGTGTCCGTCAGGTACAATTATCATATGTAACATAGTACACACCTATAGTACGTACGAAGTCAATGCTCGCAATCTGTCACGTGTACACGCCTTGCAATTCCACCCTAAGTTTTACGCTCGCGACTGATTCATTTTCTTCTTTTTTTTTTTAAATCGTGCAACGAATACATATGCCTCGCGTAGATACGGTCAGAGACGGGCAACATTCTCATTCGAATGAAAAACAAGCTATTATTTGTTGGACGAAAATTAAAATTTCAACCAAAATCATGTTTGATCGATAGATCCATCGTGAATAAATTAACGTACGTTGGTTTTAATGGTTGCTTGTTGTTCGAACGTTGCCCAACTCTGGATACATGATAATAGACGATTGGTGTCGTAGCGCGGACACGATTGACAGCTACCAATTTCTACGGACAAAGGGAACGGTACAAAGTTGACGTTAGTATAATACGCGATATGTGTGGTAACTGGTGAATGTAAGACTAGTGTTAATAATATGATGTAAGGTCGCATCGAGCATTTCGTTCGTCTAAGAGTAAGTAACGGTGCCGCGTGACGGCAACACGGGTTTTCCAATCGAACGATCTACGCTAATTTCGCTATGGTGGACGCAGAAATCCGTCGGTTAGGGCAAAAGTACCGATAGTCGACCATACAGATAGATCGACAGTGAAATTCCACTTTTCAATTGCTTATGATGGATTGAACTCTATAAGGGGTTAACTACCCTGAACGTGTCACCGATTTATTAGCAATTTCCATACAGTATGTTTGTACCCTCTTTGCCAATTGACTGCAAAGTAGAAAATCGTTTGTGGTTCACTTTTAACGAGATTATCTATGGGTGTAGTTAAAAATGCCTAACCGTATCTTTATCAAGTTTTAAATGGCCAACTACCGGTACGGTTGCCTCACCGATCTATGATCGATCGCGTAAAAGATGATTGCCGATAACACGAGCACCTCGTCGCGTCGATCGCGTCTTCGTAGAATCGAGAGAGCATACATTATGTAATATCGTAGAGTTTCCTCGCGTCGTGGAGCAGCATAACGATACAATAAATACGTTGATCGCAATAATTATTAGCTACTACAATAAATACAATCCTAAGTAGAAGCTCGTCGCTGACGTTCAGCTTCGATAAATATCCACATGGCCGTCGGCAGAATCGTCGTCGTTCGACTGTGCAACCATATCGTAAGCCAAATGATAATAGAAGAAAATATTTAATAAGCTTCTTCTGGACAATTAAGTGTCCTCCATCCCACTAAAAAAGATTCCTAAACGTTTGCAATTCAAGTTTTTGGACTTTGAAGGCCGAGTTTACGGTGAAAAAGACGTCGGATGAAGAGTCGATATGTACGACGACGATCGCGCGCGCAGCAATTTCCATCGAAAATCGCGTTACCGCGCGAATCCTTGCGAAAGAGGAAGGAATAATGCGTTTGCTGCGCGATCTGCCTTGAATTCGTTGAGCAAATCCGCTAGTCCGTCACAACACGCGACGTATACGTATCGTATACGCGTACGTGTGCGTATTCTGTGTATCTGTATGCGTGTGTTATGCGTGTAGTGTACATGTATACTGGCACATTAGAAATTGGCGCGCTTTTCTCATCGATGATGAGACCGAGGCAGGCCTGATTGATCGCGAACCTGCCACGTTGAGCCTCTACGAAGGTGACTGCGAAATTATGCGATAAAATAATAAATAACGTGGAGAAGGTAAAAATTAATAACAGATATTTAAGGTAATCGCATCAGCAGTCGACGGCGCTTCAATAGCGGACAGTTTACGAAAAAAGAAAATTTAACGGTTACGATTATTATCGGTATTACGCCTAACAACGTGGCTTGGCGACAATTCCTGCCACCGACTATCAATTATTACTTCTATTAGCGAAATCTACACGATAAGAAGAAAATGGCATCTTATTTTTCTAACGCGCGTTGATGCTTAGTATTTAGATAACCCAGTTACAGTTAAAAGGGTCTGTTTCAATACCGTCTAATTTCTCAGCACTTTAAGTGTTTACTATCGATCAACCATAGCAACTTTCCTTTCTTTAACGTGCCAACTACTGAGACAGTTTTTAGAATCGAGGGAGGAGTAGACAAACCACAACGTGTATCAATTTCATCAAAATTCCAACGCGATTAGGGGTGTAAACAGCACCAAACGACACCATCAGAGGGATCGACGTCAGAACGATCGTCTATGAAATTTGTCGATCATCCTGAATCGAAATTCTAGCCATTAGCCTTCGAAATTTTCGTTTATCTATACTAATCCTAATCACGCTGCAGGGTATCCAATTGGAACCGTCAAACTGCATCAAACGTGATTCCAAACAGTCGAGTTTAGGCCAAACGATCCCAAATAATCCTAAAGAAATTCTACTGTCGTTGGTGTGCCCCCAATTGGGTACCCAACACGCGAGCCTACAAACCATCAAACTGCATCAAACACCGACGAGTTCGAGTAATTTCCAATACATCTTGAACAAAATGATCCTGAAAAGACCTAATAAAGTTCGACTACTCAAACACGTTGGCGATCACGACGAAATCCCTGAACCACGAGTGCAAAAGAATGATTTGACGCGGTTTGATCGAGTTCCTCCAGGGGAAAAGTGTCGAGGACGTCCGACTGCTGGCGCGTTTACCTTACGAAACGTATTTTGATCACTCCCGAGCCGAGACCGTGAAACGCGTTATCCGGTCGTTTCGATCCCACGGGATTCTCGCGCGAGTGTTCAGATTCGCGCAGTTCGATCGATCGATTTCCCGTACGTTCCGGAATCGATGCTCACTGGTCGATTCACTTTCGCGGTAAAATGTTTTCAAACGCGATTAACGGGGGACCTAGTTGCCATTGATCTCGATCGTAGTGACGGAGTTCGCCTGGTGGTCCTCCTCCGTCGCGGACGAGGAAGGCGACACGGTGAAGCTGCCCAAACCGCTCTCCACGAGGCTCATCAGACTGTTCTGACTAGCTTGCACGAGCTTCTCGGCCCGTGCTTTCTCCTCGGCCTTCTTCTTCTCCGCGATCGCGTTACCAACGTTCTCGTTCTTCGTGTTCTCCTTGATGAATTGCTCGAACTTCGAGAGCTGCCTCTCGGTGACGTTCTCGTTCTTCTGGGTCGGCATACCGTGCTTGGTCACGGTAGGTTTGTACGTCTTCACCTTCGAGTGGCCCTGAATGATGAAGTACATCGGACCGCGAATAGGTTTCGCCGGTTGTTTGTAATGCGAGAAAATTGGATCCGTGGTCAGGCTGGGCACGGTCGTCACCTGGGGGGTGGTCGTGGACTCCTCGACGGGCGAACGATTCGGTTTCTCGGTATCCTGACCGTCTACGATAACGGGTGGGTTATCGGTGGGGGCGGTGGAGAGGAACGGCGTGGGCGTGGTGATCAACGTCGTGGTGTCTGGGGCGCGAGATCGATGATGATCGAAGGGTTGCTCGTCCATCGTCTGCGCGGTCAAAGACGACGAGGCTGGCGGATTAGTGAAGCCCGCGGAGAAATCTTGCATCTGAGGGGGTCGGTGAGACTGATCCATAGCGATGGGTGCTCCCATGTGATTCATCATCGGTTTCGAGGGCGGCGCGTGTATGTGGGCCATCGGCGGGAACATCGACATCGGGCCAGGCAACCGGAAGCCCATGTTCGGACGCATGCTGCCCAAGAAGTGCATCATCGCGTGATTCGGCCTGGGCTGGGAGTGCATCATGGATTGAAGGGGAGCTTGGGGAACGCCGAACATGTGGAGGGAGCCGACAGGGTAACGGGAGAGCGGCGGCATGGCCGTGGGCTGAGATGCAACGTGTTGATGAGGAGCCGCCATTCTGTTGGGCAAAACGACGGAGGATTGGGGGTCTTGGAATATCGGGGAACCGGTCACCGAGTTTCTGACGGGTTGGGGCTGAGATTTCGGCGTTTTCTCGCTCGACGTCTCCGTCGCCATCGTCAGGTTCTCCGAAACGCTCTGCTCCGACGAGTTCGAGCTCTGAGAAGCGAGGTTCGGCTTCTTCTCCGGGTAATTCATGGGCATCACCACGGCCACTGGGCCTTTCTTCGTCGTTTGCGCCTCGACGTCCAGGCTAGCCGGGGAATTAGCCACGACGATATGCATCTTCTCGGACTCTTCGTCCTTCGCGTTCTCCGACGAGTTCGCGGACGATTGTACGATCGGTTTCTCCGTCGAAACCGCCTCCTTCTGACCCACGACCACCTCCTCGTTCTCGTTGCTGTCCCCGTCCACGATTATGTTGGCGTTCTGTTCGACCACGACCTCGTGGTTCGACGAGGCCGCGACATGGTGGTCGATCTCGTATTGGTCCCTGGAGTAGTCCGGGGTCCGCCAGACGGACTGGCTCGCGTCTGACGTGGTTGGCGTCGAGGCAGGACCGTTGTTGGCTGGCCAACCGCCGGACAGAGTCTGAGTCGACTGATAAATCAAATTCGACTTCTCGAAGGAGACGGACGGGGTCGTGACCGCCTCGTACCTCGACTTCGTAGGCTGCACGGAAGACGGAGCGTACACGCTCTTTATCGTCTCCACCTGGGACACTATCGTGCCTTTGCTCGACGGTTTGAACGAGTTCGAGGACTGGGACTTCGTTGGAGACTGAGGCGGAGGCGGATGTTGATTGTAATTCTTGGACGGTACAGCGTAGAACTGAGTGTCCTGGAGCGCCGGTCCTTCCTCCGTTTGAGTGCTGAACTGTTGCGTGGGCTCGGCGAAACTGACGATCTTGTCTTTCTGGACCAACGGCGGCGGCAACATCATCGTGTAGGGCTTCGTCTTCTGATTGTAGTACGGACTGGGGTAGTAGCTGGCTGGCACCGACTGTATCCTGTTCTGATTCCTATAGTCGATCGGTCCGTTCCGGAAGTTCGACGTGCGCACCACTTTCGGCGGTTCCGCGCCCGTGCTTCCGGTGAAGTCGTTCCTGTAGGACACGTCCTGGTTCGATCGCGTGAATTTCGGCCCGTCGACGAACTTCAGGAACTGTTCCGGTATCTTCGGGCTGGTCTTCTTCGCGGTGACGCCCAGAACGAGGATGTCCCGTTTCGCGGACGGCTCCGTGGTGTGGGAATCCAGCCAGTATTGAACGCGATCGAGAACCGGAGGAACGTAGTCGAAGGTCGGATTGTTCTTCAACGGATCCCCACGGCCCAGGGGCGTCCACTCGTCGTAGTCCATTCGGGGCGAAAACACACGAGGTTTGCTATCGCCTTGGCCTGAAAACAGAAACGTTGATACTTAAATAATTTCGTAATTTTTCAATCCGAGACTTTGTTTTCGAGATACAGGATATTTACTTTAAATACTCTTCTTTTCGCGCCTCGTAATGATCAATGAGAATGCCAGTCGTATTACGAGGCGTGAAATTACTCCTCGACGCTTCGATCGGATATTACGAAACGTTCGACGACGCTAAATGATAGATGAGACCGTTTTCGCTGGCTGGGAAAATATTGATATCGATTATGGGATGATTTCTCTGAAACGTAACGCACTTTGCCTCGTTTCGTACGCGGCTGTACCCGACATGCCGGCATTAATGATACTCGTTCGCCTCGGTACAGATGGTAGAAATAGAAACGTCGACTGACTCGATAATGCAGGAGAAAACGCGAGCTCTCGAGAGCCATTATCGGTAAGCTTCCTCGCGGGATATGGAATGTAAGTGCATCCATATTCGTGCACTTGTGTCCCGGAGTTCATTCGTTGCGTCTGCACATCCTTTTCGACTTCCATGCGCCAGGAACATCTTCCCCCAAAGAAGTCTTTCTGCGTTTAGAATAGGGTGGAACATCGCCGTAATAGCTTCGAGAAAATCAATTTCTTCTCGTAGCATACGAAAGATCGGAGCTTGGAAAATATTCTAATATTTCACGAAGCTGTACAATATCCAGTTCAATTAATAATCGTATCGCTCTTAGCCGGGTAATGCAATTAATATTAGCAAATTGACTAGGTTAATTTTTATTCTCATTGATTCATCAAAGATTCTTGAGCATTGCCACAGACGAGGTATACGAATAGATCTTTCACCCAGTTATGGGGTCTTGACACTTGCAACATTGCCAACAGATTTAGAAATTTATTTGAACGTTCTATCACCACGTTTGCTTAATTTGGGTAATTTCTATCTGGTTCGTGGGCAAGATTCGAGGTTAAAGCGTTCGCGAAGGATACCAGGGACAGGATTTAAATGAAAATTTCGTCCGTACGACAGGGGTAGTATCGAAGATTTCGGTGTCCCGTGAGATCGTAGAAAATTGTCGTCCTGAGAGGAAAAGTCGCGCGCTACGGCCAGAACGGCTGTCGGTTTCTCTATTTTTCCTGCTTCCAGTTTCTCGTTACGAGCATGGACGTACGGATAAATGTTTCATCGGCATGCCGGAGTGGGCCGAGGTTCACCTCACCCGGTGTCTCTGAATGTCCCACGGGAACGAAACGGCCTGCAGGCGCCAGTACTCGAGTCGTGTCGCATAAATACACGTGTCATGCGACGCGACACAGCCCCGCGGATGCTCCTGCACATCCAAAGCCACGGAAACGTACGCGATGTACGAACACTGTTACTCTACCGGTACGCTTTCGACCCCCGTCTCTCTCATTCTCGTTACGTTTCTCGTACCATTTGCGCATACGTAATGCAAGGCGATCGTAGCAGCGTCTCCGACTGTGGACCAATTTCCATTCCGTGGCCCGTGGATCACAAAATATTCCAGAAACCATTCGCGTGGGAGGCTCCCGGGACGTTCAATTAATTTCAGAAAAGTTATTTCGAGTCAGTGTCACTGATTTTGGATAATTTTGAACGTGCAAAATGCAACTTGCTCTTTTCGATATTGGAAAATGCCTACGCGATAATTGGAAGTTCGACAAGAAACATCGCGGGGAGACGACGATAGGGGGATATTAGATTCGTTAAGCCGTCGATTTCTCTCACTTCGAATACATTAAAAGGTTACATCTGCTGCTTATAAAACCTTGGGTCGCGTAAATACATGTATCACGAGACGCGACACATCCGCGTACATCCAAAGCCATGAAAACGTACGCAGTGTACACGTTTACTCCGCCAGTAGGCTTTCCCTCCCCCTCTCCCACTCTTTCTCCGGCTATGTTTCTCGTCCCATTTGCGCATAATGCACGGCTAGATGTACGATCTCGGAAGTTTTGCAGGTTACACGATGCATATATTTCACGGAGATGTATATTTCACGCAACGCCAAGATGACGGCCGGGTAATTGCTTCCGCGAGCTTTGAGAGAGACGGGACTTTTTTCTACCAAACGCCTCGTTTGCACGATTAGACTGTCGATTCCGTGTCTTTGATACTCTGACTCCTCGATTTAATTGGGGGCCCGAAGAAAATTCTTATCTGAACTAAAGATAGAAAATATTTTCATCGAATATGCAAGAGACTGCGTTAAGGGAACAAGTGTACTATTTTGGAATTTATTTAAACAAAAATTTGTCCTTTTAATATCGACTAAACGTTTCGAGACAGCGGTACCGTTGCAGAATCTTCATTAAAAGTTGTTTTCACGGTTCCTTGGGTCGCCAAACAAGGGGTCGCGTTCCCCCACTTTTGGAGAACACAGATCCGACCAGCTGGACGCGCGTATTTTCGTTGTTGCCGGTCCATTTTCGAATAATGACGGATAAAGCGCGGATAAAAGCGCGAGAAAGTAACGCGACGCTTTTGAAGCGTGCACATGCACTCCGCATCACCGATCTTTGCTTTCAATATGCTCCAACGTGCCTCGCTTCGCCTATTATTCCACGCTTCCACGGTCTTCTGGAACGCGTCTCCTCGGTTTTTACCGAATATTAAAAATGTTTGTCGAAAGAAGTCGCGACGCAAGTTCGTCGAGTAAACAACAAAACAGGAGAGAGAAACAGAGGACCGTGAAAGAAAGCGACTGCAATCTTTTACGGTTTCGCCGGCAGCCTCGTAATAGACGCGCTCGTTGGACGTTTCGGGTCGCGTACCTCGTAAAAATCCCGCATCCCCGGCAATTCCTCGAAAGATTCCGGACTATTGTCACGCGAACTGAAGGGAGCAAAGTGGATTCGAGAAGCTGGTGACATCGACGCTGGTCTCCCCGGCGTTGTCGCGTACGAGAACCGGTGAAAAAGTAAACGAGAAAACCGGGGGGAAGAAGGGGGGGGGCAAGTGTTCAGCACCGGTAATTAAGATGGCGTCAATGTACCCTTTAACGCCCGCGATTCAAGACTCGTAACAATAAATCGGGGACGCGGAAGAAATTCGTTCCCCTCGTCTCGACGACGGCACGAACTGCAAACCTCTTAACCTTAATGAATCTTTGCTCAGTCGTCGACGAATGGAGCAGTTCCCTCGAAAACAGCTCCACCCGGGCTCTATGTACATTTCCTTGCTTTCGTATGCACGCGATACCTGCGAGCAATCGTCAGCTTCGCAATTATCGGCCTGTGTATCGCGTGGAACGCGCCATCGGAGATTATTCTTATATAAAAACCTTAATATTCCCGCGGCTCACGGACTTATCGACTCTCGAGATACGGCATCGTTGATTCCGATCGTATTAATTGCGAGGAAAGAAAACGACAAAAGGTTGCTTTGTAATCGACATTAACTTGCGTGAGATTAATACCCATTTCGCGATGTGAAAGGAACTCAAATACATTCGACGTACATAGTAGTTAGTCTCGAGTGCAAATATGTTTCTATAGACGCTCATAAGCGTCTAAACGTAAATTAAGAGAATCAACAACCACACCTTCCAGGTAAAGAAGTTCGGTTAGTAGGGTCGTTTGATCCATTCGGGTAGTCTCGAAGTAACATTCTGAATTTTAACCTTAATTTATTGTATAAACCGTCGTCCATGAAAGAGGAATTTGTAAACGGGCGATGTTAAATACAAGTATTCCTCATTGCGTTCCTCGAATTATAAGCGAAGCAGTTCCGACGTGTTAAGTTTTAGATAATTATTGCTTCCAGTTGGACGACATTCCTCGAGAACGTAAACCTATTAAACAAGTTCCAACGAACGAAACGAGTCGCTAATATCCATCAGCGGTCGATGGGAATCTGACCGTGTAAAAAGAATTAATCCGACGATTGATACGCGATGCTCGGGCACGGATAACGCGCGAACGTTAAACGTCCCGAGCACAAACGCGAAATAAAAGCGTTTTTCTACGCTGCACATGTATCCACACGCGTGAGTATTCTTTTAGCACCGAGCTGAGTGACCTACTGACCCGGCACACACGCTCAAGCACACGCACGTACGCGCGTGAGTACACAAAATTTCTCGACGATAGGGATACACTTTTACTAAATATTACGTGGCAGCCTAAAAACTTCGCTGGTAAAATTACTCGACGACGCTTTGGAACGAGCGAGCCAGTTCGCGGAACGCTGGGAAGAATCGATTCGGGGTTTTTTACCCTCGGGAACGCGAGATCGCGGAAAATATTAAATATATTTCAACTGTGTTGCAAAACTACGTTAAAAGCATCTATACGCGTTTACTTTTTTAATTTTTTGTAAGCGTAAAGGGAATTGGAGAACCCATTTTGCAAAATTTGTAAGCTCCAAACTACGCTCTCGACTAGTCTTTGATATGAGAATCTAATATATGAGAATTTTCTACAAAATATAGATTTCAAACCATTTCAAATTCTCAAAACAGGACCATTAACAGCGTTTCATAAATTTATTTTACGCAGAAGCTTGGAAAAGAAACAGTTGCGTGGTGAGTAAAGTATCGAGAACTGAAAGAGCTCTGGAACAAAATGGCACAGCTTTTGTCGAAACGCCGGAAGACGCGGAGTTTGGCTTGGAGATCCCTGGATCGTGCCAGTGGCGAACTTTTTCCGCAGCTTCCTGCAGTATGACGATCGAAGTATCCGCAAAGCTTGTCGCAAAGCCAGCCGCCGATGAGAACGTGGATGTGCGAACTCGGATATTTCATTGGCCACGTAATCTAACGCTCGACAAATCCACTACACCTTCTGGCATTCGCCTCGAAGCGATCCACTCAGGAGATCGGCTATTGAATTTGTTCCAAAACCTCTTGGTTCGAGCGTCGAGGAGATTCCACGAAACGAACTACAAACGACAACAGACTTCGATCGACATACATCATTCGGCCAAGAAAAATGGACGCTAAGGCCGAATCCTTCTGTGTTGAACGTGGAAACCTCGTACGCGATCGCACGCGTGAAAACTGTTTCTGGAAGCCGTCCAAACATCGTACAACGGCCATTCTGATCGCTAGAGTCTCTGCAAACCGATTTCTAATCGAGTTTCTGGCGCGCAAGAGTTTGGAAACAATGTTTGATTGGTACAGAAATGATTTGGAGCTATCGTTCGATTCGATTATAAGTATCAGTGAACTATAATTGTTTGCATTTGGAAAACGAAGCCTCAGAACGTAAAATGGTAACTTTAACAACACCACCATTGCATGAGAATTTCGACGTACTGGTCGAAACGATTTTTAAAAACATTCGTGACTATCTGAGAATGTCGCGCCCTTGCAAGGTGGTGAAATAAGTGGTCGCTGATGCTAACCACGGTGCTCGAGTAAACCTTTTGTGGGCGGTCACGCGAGTTAGCCAGCATTGTTTCAGGTAGCTAACAAAGCTTGCAACCCAGGCTGCGGAATCAAGGGTTAACGAGGACGGTCTTTTAATTACGGTCTACAAATTACACAACGTCGCGTTCTTTGCCGTCCCGCGGAGCGTTTAAAAATTACTATCGTTAACAATGTTGCCAACGGTGAACCGACGCTTGCAAACTTACCAGTTTTGTTCTCGAAGGTGGACGAGACGCTTTGACAAGACGAACAGCAGACGAGCCCAGCCAACAGTAGCCACCTACACAATTCCGTCGATCTTCTCCGTGTCATCTGAAACAGCAAATATTGATCTGTATTCTTCAAACCACTCGGCCCCGAGACGAAATTAACTTTCTATTGACGGATGTCAAGAGTCTGTCAGACGCACGGATTCATTACGATTCACTCGAATCTGTCCAGAATCCAGTTGGAAATTCGTTCTCTCGCTGGAACCGGGATAAATATGAAACGGGACAATTTTTTATTCCCGGAATGGCTGGTCAAATTATCGGATTCACGATCAGCTTGAAAGTATTTTATGTATTAAAATAGCCAAATGAAAAATGAAATATTTCAATGATAAATAAAAGTTCCTTCTTAACGGATAAAGCTCGAGGCAATTGGTCGATTAATAATTTTGTCTAGCAGTTTGACCATCCAGTGCAGGTAAACGAGCTTGTACGATAAAAGGAAGTTCGTCGAGGCACTTTAACGAGCTCGAAGGGACGTTCCCGATGTTTTACGAAGCGACTCACGATGCGTGCAATTCGTGTCTCGTTGTCGGCGACCGGCAAGGTTCCCGAATAATTCCAGACGGGTCGCGACCTATCCGAACCGACCCACGAATCGCGTTCCCACGATCTGGACATCCGCGACCGGGCGCATCCTTTTTCGAGAGCGTCGAGAAATCGCTCGGCGGTTACCTTTCATCGACGATCAACCGAGATACAGGCGATAACGAGGGGACTCGACTGAATGAACCGAACACGAGAAAGTGGGAGGATCGGTCGAGAAAATTGCTACGGGCGGATGTTGACTTAGGCTGAAGCTCAGGATCTACGAGCTCGCGATCTATTTCACCTTTACGCGACAGAATTAAGATACACGCATTTTTAACGAGTGTGGAAAATACTGGGTATTGTAACATTCCATATTTTTTATGAGCATAATAACTTTACGCTTCTTCGTGTAAAAGAAAATCAATTATTGTTTGAAACTTCTTGTTATATTCAAATGCAATGGACGCGGTTGAATTTTATGGAAGATTCCTCGAAGCCCGCATGAAATGGAATTTCTATCCCGTCCGTGAATTCTAAAGTATTCGGTAGCGCAATCATGGAGAAACTATCCTATCAATGTTCCAATGTATTAATTAACGAACATCAAAGGGTAATAGCTGGTAGACGAACACCAAAGTCCACGTTTACTGCGACTTAATATCAAACTCCTCGGAACTTGTCTCCCAAGTTGACGCTATTAATACAGATTTCCGTGAGGCTTGTGACGCTAACAGTCACTCCTTCTGGAAGTCAAACTTCATTATCTAGCGATCGGTGGCAGCTTCCATATCTGGATCTAAAGTTTCCGGGACGACAGGTCGCGAATAATTAAATTGAACCATATTTTAAACAAACGATTATAGTTTTGGCATAAGGGGAACGATCTTTTAATTTTATCTCCAGTTCGCTGGATCGTTTGAGCTTCTCTTTATAATTCTAATGATGCTCAGAATCGGTGACGTTTCCGTGAACAAATAATTAAGTAGGTGCGGGTACGCGTCTTGTTTAAATTCGATCAACTACCGAACCGTGAAATTGTCTTATCGATTACAATACGGAAGAAGATCGGTCCGTCGAGCGATCTCGGTGTCGCTAACTGTGAAAACTGTTCGTTATGCTGACGTACGACCGGGTGCTAGACGAGCGTTCACCTATGTAGTAATGGAAATTGATCCCACCTACAGATAAGTGGAAGGACTAATTAGCGCTGTCGTACGGCTGCCGGTTAGCATAGAAATTATCTGCTTGTACGTTCGCGTGTGTCACCGGGGACTCGTCCAGCGAAGCTAGCACGATATTAATAGATTCCGATCGCTAGTCTAACGTCGTCGATTGCAATTTTACCGACGCTGGTGCCGTAAACGTATCGCCAGGAATTAGAAATTCTTTCTCCCGATCGAGTTATTAATAAATTCCGCGTGCCAGGTGGGCCAGGAAACATTCGAAATTCCCAGACGCGACGCTGTCGTCCGTAAATTCGAATCCAAAACGATCGACGGCAATACTTTCACCCGAGGACACGTGCGAATCGCTTTGCCAAGGGTCACGAATCGGCGTCGCTCGAGCGTGCGAGCCTCTTCTGATTTCTATTTGCCGATAAGAACCTCGTAAACCGTGGATCAAGAATCGCTTAAATCCTCATCGAATATCCTCGAGCGTTCGTCGCGACTATCGGGTGACGAGGAACTGACAAATTTCTAAATTCTTGGATCTTTTGATTCACGGATCGCGAATGCTCGGTCAGTCAGAATCTTGATACATTGTTAGATATCGGGAAAAATTCAGGTTTCATATTGGGACCAAAGGAAACTTTAGATGGTCTAAAGAAAAATGGCGAGCGAGAAATAATTTGAAACGATTTGGGAACGAGATGGAAGATCGATTTTTGGATGGTTCGTGGTGGGGATCGAACGAGGGGATGGTGGATCGCAGGGGCCTTGGAAAGCCTGCTTGTAAGCGGTTTTCATCGTGTGTATTTGCACGTGAGATCGCGGCGTATCGAGAGGCAGACACGTGGTAACGGTAGACGATGCTTCGGGCGCCGATCTCCTCTCTCTCTGGAGTAAGATTCCCAAAGAAAGAACGTGGCCGGCATGGACGAGCGAGCAAAGAATGCCGCCTCCAGATTCGGCGAGATACGACCTTGACGCCTCGACGGACCGCGACAGAAGAACGGCCATCTTGAAATTTTCCGACCGCGCAAAGCAACCGATTAAAACCACGAATCGATCATCAATTCTCGTGGAAATAAACTGGACAACCCATAATTGATGCTCCATAGAATCGTTCGTGTATACAGGATGTACAAAAAAGTTGGGACCAAACTCAGGTCAAATAGATAAGATTTGCTTGAAAAGATATAATCTTTTAAAGATGTTTATGATTTATTATGGCAGAACATTCGTCAAACTCTTTCGAATGTTCCCTCCGTATCGGAAATAATAGTAAATGCACTTTGAATACATTCCCGATCGAACGCTTCGTGTAACTGCCACGATAAATCATAAATATCTTTGAAAGCTTATACCTTCTCGATAAATCATTTCCGGACGTAAGTTTTTACCAACTTTTTTCGTCTACATGACCTCGGTAACGCGTGGTTATTCGATAGCCTACGGGCTAAATAAATACTCGCGATTAAAGTGTTTGAAGTTAGTTTTGCGAATCGTGAAAATCCACCAGAAGCCACGTGATTTATATGCGTCTCGTAGAGCGTCACGAACGATCAGGCTTTACGTTATAAAATCGGTTTTATTTCGCGTTTGCGAAGCTTACGCGGAGGAGCCGCGGATCGAACGATCGAATATTGCTAATCTTCGTAAAAGCTTCGCGAGCAAATATTTTCCCGCGAACAGATAGGAACGTTCGAGGGAAAATACGGGTGGCAGGTGTTAGTCCGTCCGTGTATACGAAACTCGCTCGTGGCTTTCCTAAAAGTCACGCTTGGAAATTTATGTCAATTTCCACGACCCCTACTACCTTCCACTCCCTTAAATATTTGTTGCCTCCTTCGTGGAGTCGTATTTCTACTTAACTATAATTTATGGACGCGCGGCTAGGATACCTGGAGGATATAAGAGGAAAACAGGAAGAACGGAGAAAGTAGACGCAAAGATCGCCGTACAAGAATCGACTATTCCGAACGTTCTTCGGCAATTACTGCATCTCAAAGGTTACGGAACCGGGACGTTCCAGAGTTATCTCCTCCGTCCCGACGCGACAAATTCCACGATTATTATTATTTCTCGCGCTTTTCCAAGTCTTCTTATTCACCGTTGTCCCGGGATTTTTCCGACTATTATTGCTTCCTGCAGGAATTTCTTTCAGGCGTTTGCTCGGTTCTTTCATTGTTATTAATACCAGCCTATACTTTTACAGCCGCTAATGCATATTCATAGATACGAAACTACCGATGACAGTAATGAATCATTCGATAATCCCAAATATGCAGCCGCGCGATGGGAACGAAAGGGTCAACCGAAACACCGGTTTTCTCCTGAGGAATTAATCCCACATTTTGTATAATACCGATTGCTTAAATAAAATTATTTTGTTGCTGTCGCGGACCTTCAAGACTTCGACTCAAGAGTTTACATTTAAAAGTGATTTCAACGCGTGGAAGGCAGCGTCGAGTAAATCTCTATAAATAGCGTTTCAGGCGAATTAATCTTACATTTTAATTTACAACCCACACCGATACATTTTATATTCCCATTCCCCATAACACTTTTTATTTACCTCTTCGGCAGTATCCTTTCTTTCTTATGTCCAAGCTCGATCGCGAGTCAAGATTCACTCGGATTAGGTTGCAAACCCGCAGTCTCTTGTTCGTTTTTATTCGTCGAATAAAGTCGTTAACCAAGAAACGAAATGGACAGCTCGATAAAACTGCCCCCCGCCACTAATAACGACAAGTTATCGAACGCGAGAGCAGAAAGCAATATTACGCGTCGCGCCGGGATCAGCATTTTTCGCGGATGCTCGGGTACTTTTTTATTCCGCGCAAATTGAATCCGTTCAATCTGGTACGCGGTATCACGCTCGGTGGGAAACGATAAATAAAGCAATTTTTTCAGGCTGTTGTTTCGGCCAGTGATTTCGCGGGATCTCATCTGCCTACGCGGCGAATCGAGTATTATTCACGGTGCCAATCGATGGTAAGAAACGAGGTTGCAACAAAAAAAGAACGATCGCTTCTTCCCGAACCGGCCACGCAACGATGTATAATTACCGTTTACATCGTTAGAAAGTTATTGTCGGCGCGTGTGGATCGCTTGTTCTCGATCGTCTCGTTCTCGGATCGATCGTCGACGGACCGTGGACCGATGGACTGATGTTTATGCATCCACGCTACGTACATGTTCCTCGTTAACTAAACCGACCGTGTGCTTCTGGCTAATAAACCAACTTCGACGGTCGACAGATGTAAGTACGACTAAATTTACATCCAGACCGTTTGCAACGCGATAATTAGCGAATTTTTTAATAGATGGATAGTTAGAGTAAGTAGAA